TTTTTTTTTCTTTCTCAAAACTGTTAATTTCGTCTTTCAGTAAAAATATAAGACTCAGATTAATGATCATCATCATGCTATTTTACTTTCAACTCTAACAGCTACGAAGAATGTACAGTTGTTCTTCCTTAGAAGTCAAGTCAGTGGTCATATTATCAAAAATGTTCCAATATTGTTCTAGTTTTTAGTTATAGACAGTGAAGAGAAACTGAAATTCAGGGGCTGTGTAGAACAGAGTGCATTCATTGTGAGACAGATATATTTATGTAAGTTCACATTCAAGCAGTCCTCTGACACTGTCCTTGAACAAACCCTGTTGTGTGAGAGCCTAACATTAATAACCGTTGAAGACAGCTGCATTTTTTTAGCATTACTATAATTAATAATACCATTCTGATTACTGTTTGGATTTGACAACAAAATATTACAGATCATTTCCATGCCCATTTTCTACATTTGATCGTATACATTGAGCAAATTGTGTAATTTAGATTGCACATTTGTTCCTACCAAAGATAAATATATGAGCTATTAGATAAAGTATGAACTGCTTTTGTATGTAGTTTTAACCTATAAAAATATTGATTGTGTTCCAATTGGTCTCTAAGGGTTAACATGCTCCACATGTGAAAGACTCTTTGGCCTGGTATGGCATGTCATGGTATAGCCGATATATTCAGTATAAAATATGTGAAAGTGTTTTTATTGCACATCCATTTGCCTTAAACACACATCAGCAAGCTTAATGAACAATTGGGTCAACATTGTCTCAATTTATATTCAATGAGATGTAAATAACACTGAGTTTTTTTTGTGAAGAATTAGAGACTATTTGCCTTCTGTCGTGTGTCTCCTCTATACATGAGGTTTGAGCTTCACTGAGAGCAATGGATATGATCAGTTCCTAAAAATGTTCGAGGTTTCATGCTCGAACCAACTGCATTTGCAACAAATACAGGTAACTTGATAAGAATCATTCACTGTGTGGAATCCATTCTGGTGGTTTCTTAAAAGCTCTGAAATGTATATATATAAAAAAATGCAAACAGTAAACCTGATTATCAGGTTTGACAAAACAAAGAAGTACACAGTACTTCTCATGAAATGCTCATGCTATAATTTTATAAACACCCCTCCCACCATTTTGTTCCTTATATTGGTCCCAAATTAGTGCCAGATGTACTTTGTTCTTCATTATACATTGTTGTATTGTTAAAAATGTATTAGTATATGTACAGTTTAATACTAACCTGGATTTGGTGAAATGCTGTTGTTTATTCTCATGTTACATAATGCATTAAGCTCTTCTTATGCACCCCATAGTGACAAAGGATTGTATAAATGGCATTATAAAATCATGACAATGTTAACAAATTTGAAAATGATTGTTCAATTCTTATCAAAAACTCTTGATGTGCACATTCAAAGCACCGCACAATTGAAAACTGACAAGATTCTATCTATCTAGTTTGAATGATGTGCTTCTTGTAAAATGTCTGCAGGCGAGGAATGTATAACATTTCTAAAGAGTTTTAAAAGACATTACAGTTTACTTTAGGTTTGATGTGTTAATTGCATTTAAAATAAATATGTATTTCTGCATTCCTGTTATGATCTTGCTAGTTTGCACATTTCAGAAACCCCATCTTATTAGACCACTGCATGCAACCTTCCAGATAGAGATGTGTTGTAAAGTATTTAAAGTAACCATTAATTATTATTTAAACTAAGAAGTAATTAACATCATCGATAACATGAATCTTTCGAGTCACCTTTGTGTCACTCACTGGGTGTTTTGGCTATTT